AGATGGTTATCGGGAGACGCAGTTATATCACTTATGAAAAATTCACACCATTTCACTTTCTACTAAATATTGAGCTGAAAGGGGATGTTGTCCAGAATTGGGACGACGAAAGCTCCTCAACTAAACCAATCATATCAGAAAACACTATTAACTGAAAACAGTGTTGTTCGGTCATAATTCCTCTGTCAGTTTAACGTTTGTATTTATTAATATGCTAGGATAATATGTTTGGAGTTATTCATTAAGAAACCATTAGACTGACTATTATGTTCTATTTTACTGCTACCTTACTGAACCTATTGTTTCTTGAGAAACATAAACTTGCCATAAAGTATTTGTTTGTATGCGTATATTAAGATTGTCAAATGAAAATTAGCTAGGGTTATTGTTTACGTATCAAAATGTTTCAAAAATATGGTGAATACTCAAACTGTAACTAGTGGGGTGCGGGTGGCTGAAGATTGGCAAGTACTGACAAGGGTTACTTAGTATGAAAGACATCCAGAAAAATATGATTTTAATGAAAGAGCATGCAGACACGCTTTCAAAATAAATTATGCAAAAGGTAGGAAGATTATATAAAGGTTTGGTTAAGATAAAGATGTTGTGAAGATGTTATACAATCATTCAAAAAAGTAGTAGAACTTGGAATTATACCCAAGGTAGAAGGAGGGTGTGGAGAAGTTTCTTTTGTGTACATAAATCAGGGTTTTTCAATCTGGGTCGCTAAGGCCTCCTTGGCAATGCAAAGTCTACGTAAGCTTACCGTTTTCAGGAGGCTTCTTTTCACTTTGTAGATGACTTTGAATGAATTCTTTGTGCATATTGAGTGACCAATGTTGACTATATGTTCAATTATAGCATTCCTTATCCATTAACTGTTACCTTTTCGTAGCCAAGCGGGATAATGTTTTTAAACCCTTTTAGTTTGACTTTGTAGATGATGTAGATGTGTCCACCAATTTACTTGCTCATGTGGAGCGAGATGTATAGGTCGTTCAATGGGTGGTCTGTCTAAAAGAGTCAAAGGACAAAGTATGTGATTCAAAAGATTTCCCGCCAAACTATCCTACATGCGATTAATCTACTTTAGAAGGGACTCTACTTATACAAAGTGTAATATCTGTCTGAATGTTTATATTGAGTATCGTTGTCATCAGGATTGTATGAACACTAAAAAGTTCAAATTCAAACTTCTGATTAAAAATGAAAGGCTTTGAGCATATGTTTTCCGTTTTCTATTATTTATTTTTCCTTGTTGCCTCTTGAATTAGTCGATTAAAGGCATCATATATTCTGATTTCACTTTATGCTAAATATTGCGCTGAAGATGTTGTCCAGAAGGTGGACGATGAAAGCTCCGCAAATAAACCAACCAGCTCAGAGAACACTATTAATTGCGAATCATCCATCCACCTGAGCTACAAATCTTCTCTATTATTGTTCACTTTGCAATTCCTGACATTTCTAATTTCTGTCAAACATTTCCACCTTACAGTTTGCATGATGGGTTTACTGTGCCTTATTTATTGGTCACATATATCTCCTTATGTATTTCTCATGGCTTATATAAATAACACTCTAGGTCAGAGTATTCAGCTAAGGAGTTCCATCAATGTTTCATGAAGATTCGTTGTCTATTTGAAGTTCTTACTGAGATCAAATGACTTCAATAAACTTTTTTTACCTTATAGGTGATTTTTTACCGTACACACACACACACACACCAAAAAGTCAAAACGTTCACTAGTTGATGTTTTATCAACCAGTTTTATGTTTAACCCTAAGAATTGCCAATTTACACTGAGACGACAACAACAGCTATATTCCTCATTTCTTTTTTTGTGTAATAAAACCTTTGGGGGCCTTTGAGGCATTTCCCCCATGGTTATATACAAATCCTGCAAAATTGTTTTTTTATTTGGGACAAATAACGCATAAATTTATTGGTAAGGCAATCAAATCGCTGACAAAATTTCTATGATATATCCGTCAGAGTAAAATGTCTATAATTTGTTTTTCAAAAAAATTTCGCTAATTGAAAAGGATGGAAAAATGAAGGAATCTTCACGATTACTTGATTGTTCTGCAAAATGGAATAATTGGATTACAGGGAAATGTTGACAGTTTATTTAAAATCAGTCAGACAAATGGATGTATCCGACACAGTGTGACTCACATTATGCTTCCATGATGACGCCTCGTGCGGTGTAAACTTCAAAGTAAAATATGAACACAAACGATTAATCGGAAATCTTCATGGGTGCCATTTAGTATCAGATGTCACTCATCAGAAACTTCAGATAGTGAACTTAAGAACCGAAATTCATTAGAGTTTAGCACGACTTCTCTTCTTTCATTTCTGTACTAGTTGTACTTTTCAACTATGTACTGTCCAGACATACATTTATGCTCACGGATGATGAGTTGTCGGCGTAGAAGTATGCAAAGAAAAGTGGATCAGTTCAGCCTGTCACACAATGAAGAAATACATAGAGAAGAGAGATGGAATGTGACTACAGTGGACGGAGATGTGTAGGTGGACAGGGAGTGATTAGGCTAAACGAAATGTTGCTTGTGAGGAGTGAAACGAGCAAGATGTGAGTTATTGAAGATGATTTCAAGCCACATCATCAAAATCTTTCAATCATTTAGTCTTAGCACTTCACTGACCACAACCAATCAGTCTACACCTTCGTACACGACTCAAGTCAACAGTCAAACACTTTATGGATTCCGATCACGCTATCATGTGACACTGCAGCTCTTTTATCTCTTACCACATTCATATTTCAGGTAGTATTACTCGTCGAGGGAGATGGTGTTTCAGCATTTCTAGCACTTATTCTAACCACCTCACTTGAAGCACCCACACTTTGACAAATGAATTCCTCATTATCTTGACCCAGTGTTGTCATCCTAGTGACGATTGTAAGCCGGAACGAGGTCCTGAACCTTGGCCTCCTTCATGTTGGAAGCTATATATTCCTTCACACACCTGAATTCTCGCTGTGTGTATTTACTGTGGTTGATATAACAGGGTGATGTAGAGTGAATTTTATACCAAAAGTCAGTGTGATGTTTAATGTGGTACATATTTCACTTTAAATTCATTCAAGAAAACTCATGGTCCTCAAGAATGTGAATTGAAGTGATATATTTGAATGACGATGACATTTGTTCAGATATATTTATGTGCTATCTTCCCTTTCGAGAGTAGTCTGATGTGAGCCCGTGATTGCAGGGTTATCACATTTGTTCTCACTATTATAAGTAAATCTCGGAATTCACCTATCATTTAGTGAGATTCATTTACAACATGAATTACTCAAGATTCTGCTTAATTTGTGTAAGAATAAGGCGAATACATGTTTGAATTTTTGTATATTAAACGTCAGATATTGTGTGGACTTAGAACAGGTGGAATAGAGGAATGATGAAATGATGCGTGAATCGATGTTTTCACGAAATGAAGATTATTCACTTGAGAATGCGTGTTTAGTAGTGTTGAGATGAAGTAGATAGTTAAATGAGGAAGATAAATGGATCGATGGCGACGTGGAGTCCTACTAGTTATGGTGATTGGGAGAGTTCTTGTGTGAACCAAAATATAACAGTATTTAGTAGTGAAGGCACTAATAACTGACATGAACCATGTAGGATGGGATGGTTTCATGACTGGGGTGTTTTCGAAGTGATAAGAACTACCAGTTGCAGTCTGAGGGTGATACACTTCAGCAGCGTATCTGTCCTCTCTCTCTATTTATGTGCTCTTTCGAGAAGTAGCAATTCCAACTGGAGCTTCTTCATGAAGAATTCTATGTCGGTTCATTGTCACCCTTACTACATTGAGTACATAAGGTGGCGTCAACTTGTTCCAATTTATTCCTTACCTGACATTTTCGTTAATCTCAGTGGTAATTATGCTCATGTCACAAATTTAGTCAAACAGTAAACTTTGTAACAATTAATCCCTTGATCAGAGTCTGTTTATCTGGTTGTTCCAGGTGTATTCATGAGATATCAGTGAATAATTTATAAAGTGTCATGTGCTGATTATTGAAATCAGCTGAACAGAATCGTGATTTAGTCTCAATGCTGAGTGATATGATACTACCGCTCTGACGCAGCCGAAGTGTTTTACAAGCTGGTAAATACGACTTCGCTATGATGACCACGAAACTGAAATTCGTACGTTCCCGTCAACCAATATCAAACGTTTTGAATAATTTGAAGTCAACTGGTGGATGGTGACTAGCAGTGGGTTCCAGGATGCGCATTTCGTGCTATTTGGGACTCGTCATGTGGATTTACCTGCCTTCTTCAATGAGTGATGGTGTTCCTACCGAGACTCGACCCGAGACCGGGCACTTCAGTCCAGTGAGTCGACGGGAAAGTCTAAAATTGAATCAAATAGCTTTCAATAATTAATTCATGAGTAATCCCTTATTGCCTAGCTGTCAAGATGGATGGAATTGTACAGCAGGTGAGTTATAGCATGTCATCATAATACTATAGAGTTTGTTTTGTCCTTCAAATTTTGATGGATGGATAGATCTGTTGAATTGGTGAAATCAGTCAAACATTTTACATCTGAACCACACCACAGACGTATATGTATGTATTGTATGTATTAGTCATGACATCAGGATGAAAATCTCACTTTGTTCACTTTCTCCATATAATGGTTTACATGTTTTCCGCATATATGTCTAGATGGTGGAGTTATTTCTCCTTCAAAATAAACAGACAAACAAAGAAACATTCAAATGACTACCGAGAGGTACAGTCAGATCATCTGACTTACTGTCTGCTGTATTTTTTTATTTCATGTGTAGTTTCACAGTGTGCTTATTCGCTTTGTTTTGACTTCATTATTAACAGCTGGAAGAAAAGAAAAACACTTTCAATAGCTTAAATTGAAATACACCCATGCAAGTACTTTTAAGCACTAATGTGTGTTAGATTAGAAGGGTGAGTGAATGAGTGAGTGAGCGTGTGTGTGTGTGAGAGAGAGAGAGAGATACAAGATTGTGTTAATTTGGGGAATATCTCTTCGTCTTGTTGATCCATCGATGTATCATGTTGTGTGTTTGTGGAATAAGTGAAGAAAAGTGAATCAGCCATCTCAACAATGACTCATTTTTCAAGGGGAAACTGATCAGAGTTTCTTTTATATCATCTACAAGAATTTCAACTGAAATCGTTCACAGTTAATACGGAAAACACTCGACAGGAGATAACTTTTTGATATATACCATAATTATGATAAGTGATGCCCAGTAGTGGGTTCCTTAGGCAGGATGATATGAATCAAGCGTCCCCGTACTACACAGTCTTTGTTGTCTCCACTATGATGACTTTCTATTTTCTCTAGTTTCTCTTATTTAGTCTCAGTTGATTAGTCAACACCGTTTTGTGGATGTGAATAGCTATCGACTTTACATACAGTACTATGGGTAAGATGGAAATTGGATAGTATGTGAACCTAATTCTATCACCTTGATCTATTTGAAGATTAAATGAATAACTGAGTGACGGCGGTATTTTTGTATCACAGGCCTTTGGAATTACTCCTGCAACATTGTATCGGCTGAACTGTGAGACCCACCATATCTCTCTGTAGTCATTCTGAGCTGACTCCATGATTGCTCGTAAACTGTCAACTCTTCTGCCTATCCATATCACCCGACTCATTGTTGCTCCTTTCGAGCTTCATTTGAAAGCCTGCTCCAGTGTTCTCGTCAACCTATGCCCAATCCATTTCCATTCCCTTCGGTATATCTGTAGGGTTAGAGGTTCTTGTTTAGTTTGTCTCCATATTTCCTTGTGGTTTATCCTTTCTGGCCATCCCATCTTCAGTATATAGCGAAGGCGGTTGTTGATGGAAGTCTGCAGTGTGTTGGTAATTGTCTCTGTGACACTCCGAGTCAGTTTATGGAGTATTCGATAGATGATAGGAAAGGATTGTTCAGGAATAACTTTGTGGTCAGTTTAAGTGAACTGATCTGATGTAGGAGTGTTCTAATGTGGAATTCCCGAAAAGTCTCCAAATACTGAACACTTCAAACAGCAGAGACAATCTCGGTTCGACTAAACCACATCCAGAGGTGTGTGTGTGTGTGCAAACAAAACACTTCCATCCAGTATTGCTACCCTGGTCTTCCGTGAGACCTATAAGTTTATTTATTCTCTATTATTTCTCTCAATTTATCTGATATACAGCTCAGGAATAATTACATTTGCTATGTATACATTATCACGCAGATGCTATCGAACTGTAACCTATCGATATTATGGATTGAATGTTATGCAAAACTTTAATCTAATTAATAACAATAATTGTTCACTTATTATGGATATATAACTGCAGAACTTGATGAAGGAGTTGTCGAAAAGAATACTCCTTGTTCACTAATAAGTCTTTTAAAATGTTTAGTGGATGATAATCTTTAGTCAATTCACATATTCAAAAGATAAGACTTCTGATTTTGAATACATCAGCCACTAAAACAGAAATCAATATCACTTTCTTCGAGTCTATTAAATGCAAGTCTTTTTCTAGATGAATCCTATTCATGACTGAACACATGGTTAAGGCTTCGTACACCTTGTCTGTAATTAATTATACAGTGACAATTTTTTACCTAATGACATATTGATTCATTTAAATTTGAATTTTCTTTTCAAGATGAATCGATTGAACAGTAATCAGATTACACATTATAAGTCAGGAAAACACTAGTTTGATAACGCAAAGGTCATGGATGAGTCAGTCAGTAATTTTGCATTCTCTGTCAATTTGAATCGAAATTTTTTAAAACAATTAGTCCCTTTGATAAATTTGAATAAGGCATTAAGAAGACAAATTTCGCGAGATGATATCATTTCGTAGTTTCTTTACAACCGCTTTACAACTAACATGGTTAACAATGATAAAGTAAAGTTCATGAAAATTACTCAGTTAAATAAAAAACCAAAGTTCATACTAATGACCAATAATATTTAGATAGGTCATGCAGTCCAGGGTAGGCGAAGGTTGAAGTCTATTGTTGTTTTTTGTACACACAGTTTAGGCTGTATGTGATAAATCCCAAGTGCAATGGATGATGCTGGATTTCTATTAAGATTAATCGCGTTAGGATTTTCGATATGATTTACTAGCCATTTTGGAATATGTTCTTTTCGACGACATTGGAACATTCTGTTAGTTCTACCTATATAGGTGTCACCGCAGCTGCAGGTGAACTTGTAGATACAGTTTGAAGTAGAGTCCACAGAATTTCGTCCTTTAATCGTAGGAACAGGAATCGAAAATGTTCGGCAAGTGAGAAAAAGAGATTCGGCGGCGTAGAATGTGCGTTTGATGGCTGATCGAAGTCTTTGAGTTGTCAACTGCATAATCTGGTCGCCCTTGAATGGTAGATTAATAAAGATGGCTTTCTTTTGTTTACATGTACACATTAGTGCTTAGCCCATATGAAGAAAATGCGGTTATTTTCTATTTATCATGACGTATCATAAGTAATTGTGATGACAACTCACTAGTTCATGCTTTCTACTATATAAGTAAGAGAACACTTGATCGAGTTTAAAAATCTAATTCTAATAATAATATTTGGAGAAAAATAAATAATAATGGAATTTCCTCGGAAGAATAAGTCTGGTGAAGACGAAAGTGAATTGAGAGGAAAGCATTCACTGGACGACGCGACTTCCTGTTAATTTCTAGTAGACCACAACAATCACATAGAAACCAAATGATGAATAGGAGATACTTCAAGGGAAGCCAGACAACGATAAATATAACGAATGGATCAAGCCTAGATCGAAATTTTTCTGAATCAAATTCGAATGTGGATAAAGCACATAATAATATTGACGAGTTATTCAATAGAATTCTCCATCCAGATCATCGTAAGAATGCTATCATAGAAATATGCAAATGTATTAAAAGTGATAAAAATAATTCCTCCAATGTGGGATATTTTATTTTTGGACGTCCAGGTATTTCGGCAGCGTTGCTTTGTGAAACTTTTGAACACTATCCGTATGATAAGAGGGTCCCAGTTTCATCAACATCATTTGAGGTGAGTGAATAAAAATCAATTGATTTATATATATATATATATATATATATATATATATATATATATTCATCACCATCTTCTTAGTTTAATTCACTGCTAAATGTCATTCTTATCCAACCGATGACTTAAACTGCAAAGTGTGGTAGATTACTTGGGAGTGTGTGGGGGTCAGGGTGGGGTGACTGCTTAAATTATATTAGCCGTTAAGAAGAAGCGGTCCAAAGACCCTCTAAATGCCCTCCAAGCTACCAGTCACATCATTAATCATGAGTGGTGTTTGTGTACTGTATTCACAGCATGGCCTTGATATGGATTTATGTCATTGTGTGGATAGTGGATGGTTGATTGTGCTCAACTGATGATCATCCGACGTGGTTAAGCTCTCTGTTCATCTTGAAATACAGTTTATTGGCAAGTTTACCAGTTCTAATGTTCCCAACATTGATATGACTAGTCATTGAAGGTCATCCAGAAGGTTCTTTTTTAGTGGTTGGTACAGTTTAACTGCCCTCTTATTTTTTATCCATATACCACTAGTGTTTGGAATTTCTTCGGATGACCAACTAGTTTTATATCATAATTTCGTAAAAACGAGTCGACATAAATGATTAATCCACAGAAGGCAAAGACACAGACTTAAGTGATATGTGTCACTATCACTTAACATGTTTACCACTAAGTATTTCTTCTATTTGAAACCATATTTTTCGAAATAATTCCTTTATCCTAGGGTCTTTCCGAGAATTTTCTGCTTTACAACGATTTTCGTTATGCATAGATGTCTTCTAGAAGATCATTGAAAATGATTCTGAGAACTGGGCACTAGGTTGACTTTTAAGACAGTTAATGGAATAGGGTGTTAGTACAGTCGTTTGAAGTGAAGAGAGGAGTAAGAAAGGCTACTATCGACTATCATCGACGCCCTTCCCCATTGTGGTAGACTGTGTGATTCGAGAGACTTTTGAGGGTAAGAAGACGAGCACATGTTGGACAGAGAAATAGATCCTAGAAATTCCAGATTTTGACGGTGACTGATGTCTCGTATCGCACAAACTCGAAGATATAGGATCGGAAACCGACAAGTCGGTAGAATAGTCAGCAAAGACAGGAATTCGAGAGAACATAAAGAAGACAGAGGTAATGAAAGCATCCAAGAAATAAAAGCAAAAGCAACAAGCATCAGTCAGCACCGAAGAGGGAAGTCTACACAGAGTCAACTCTTTTACTTCCCTGGGAAGCTTCATCTTGACTACAGGCAACACGCGTAGGATATCAAAGCCAGATGCCTATTCAGCAGATCAATTTAAGCTTCATTGATTTCTAAGACGAAACGTACATCTATTTTCTCTGCATTTTGCATTTTCAGATTATCAGATCAATAATTGGTATATTTCAAGAAGTTATAATGCACGGTGAACATCGTTATGATTTGTTCAACAGTGGCCTTCTGACGTACCTACTTCCGTACTTTAATGTTAATGGTCAAGCGTTTGACGTGGAACACTTACATGCTGGCCTGTTAGGCTTATATGCTACAATGTCGAGTAAATTTACTCTTGATGATATGGAAGCCTTTTTTTCATTTTCATATGGTCATCCGCCTCATTCTGATAATTTCAATGAGACTAACAATGAAGAAGGCATAACGAATAGAAATGATATCATTGATTGTTTCTCATTAGAAGATCTGCTCACGCATACGTTGTACGCCTTATTACAAGGTGCAGGTCAGGCATCTAAACACATGGCTCTTATGTTGCTGTCGCGTTTGTTGAAACTGAAACAACAAAGAGCACGTTTATACACTAATCATGGTTTGTTTAATCAAGTAATATGGAATCTTACACACATCATGCGATATATATCACACAGAATGACGCCTGAATTTCAAGCGGAATCTATGAGAGAAATTCGTTTATCCAATAGAGGTGAACAAACAATTTTTACACAAACTAAAAGGTTACTCCAATTCACAATAGAATGTTTCGAACAACTAATCATTGATCCAGTATTATGTCACAAATCAACGAGTTTTCTACCGGTTGAATTACGTTCGAATCATTTTGTTGAACTTTTCTTACAAGATGAAGGTGTGCGAGGATGGCTTGAGACAATCTGACGAATTTTAGGTTGAAATGAAGTTCGCTAGACTATTCTCGCCGCCTGTGGATTAATTAATATGTGTGCAAAACTAATTCCGCTCTCATGCTTCAGTTTAATATTGTTAATAAATACACACCAGCTTTTTGCATGGATGTAAAAGTCTTTTATTTCAATGAGTAAACAACAAATACTCGCCTAATACAATGAGTTTTATTGATTAAAGATTGGAGAGTCCTTCTGCAAGCAAGACGGGTATTTGCATAAACCATCAACCACTTGTATCAAGACAGCCTGACAAATACTGACAGCCTGGTGGTAGGTAGATTTAGTCGAGTAGACATAACAGTGTAGAGATGTGATTCCATCTTCTCATTCTAAGACGCATTCACAAACGACTTTCAAGATATTGACAAGTTTCTTAGGTGTATGTTCTTTCTTCACAGACATTCACAGACACAGATTCGAAATGTCATCATTGAAAATTACTGTATACCACTGTGAGACTTTATCAAGTAGATTTTCTCCAGGTTGGGAATAAACAGGATGGCTTGACAGTGACAAGTATCTGAGTAGAATAAACCAACAACCAGATTAGTTCCGTGAAGCATGAGTAGCGAGGTAAGTAGGAGAATATGGTGTCATTTTTAGTATTCCGTTGGATCTTGTCTAAGACTAAGACTATTTTAATATCAACATAAAAATCTCCACACGCTTTGATTAGTACTTTAAAAGATAACAGCCAGTAGTATTAGACAAGTGAACATAAGAGGAGTTAAAAGGAAAGAATTCGAGGTGCCCGTAGACTTGTTGGTAAATGCAGAAAAGTTACAAGAGTATCCTGGAGTCAGGGACGGAAACTGCACATTAGTTAGTTTCGGAGGAAATAAAACTGAGTAGCACATGTCACGTAGGAGTTTTAAGTTTTACTGATTCGAAACGATTAAAATAGTAATAACAATAAGAGTGGTAAGCTGAGAAGATATCAGGTGGAGAGTATGGAGATTGTGTTAGAGTATTCCGACTCATTGTCTTTACCGAGAGAAGAGATCAAAAGTCTTTTGCTTATGTGCATGACGAGTGTACAGTCCAAGTCTAGCAGTGTTATGTATCGCCAGACCGATGCAGTTTCAATAAGCGATCCATAGTGTCCTATCTTAGCGGATACCGTGAACAGCGGAGTTTGAAAAACGCAGTAGACGAGATGGCATCTTACGAGAGGTATGTCGATGATACGTTTTAATTATCTGTAACAACATTTAAAAAATGCTCTTTATCTTCTTCACCTCCTTAACAAGACACGCAATGGCACCTAGTTCACCATGGAATAGGAAGAAAACGAAAGTCTTAACAGTACGGATCTTGGAAATATACAATGATATCGATTTAGTTGCATTATTTGAGCTGTTTGATTTAATTTCGTAGCTCACGTTGTCCTGCTAAACAACATCTTCAACTCAAGCTTTAGTATGAAATGGACTTATTTGAATTCTCCATGATTCATGATATAATTGTATCCCCTGACAACCATTGTCGTGATTGGCTGTTAATTCACGTCTCTATTGATCATTTTTATTGACTTGGAATTTGAACTTTCTTGTCATGTGGTTTACTTTTTATTAGTTGATAAATTTGGTCTAGAGTAATGTGTTTGCTAATTGCTGGCTGATCCACTTGAGTACCAGGCTTCGAGGAACCCTCTGGCAATTTTTTGGAGAAATCTTAAATAAAGGAAAAATCAAAAATCTTAAGGAATTTCTAGAAGACTGGTGCTCAAGTGAATGAGCCAGCAATTAGCAAACACATTACTCTAGACCAAATTTATCAACTAATAAAAAGCAAACCAATGACAAGAAAGTTCAAATTCCAAGTCAACAAAAATGATCAATAGAGACGTGAATTAACAGCCAATCACAACAATGGTTGTCAGGGGATACAATTATATCATGAATCATGGAGAATTCAAATAAGTCCATTTCATACTAAAGCTTGAGTTGAAGATGTTGTTTAGCAGGACAAGGTGAGCTTCGAAATTAAATCAACCAGCTTAGAGAACACTACCAAATCGGAATCACCCAACTCAGCTACAAATCCTTTTTATTATGCAAAGATATATCCATCGTAGAGAATCCTACAGCGGATAGCACCTGAATTTCAACAACTTTTGTGCAATAAGCTTCATAAACTTTGGGTTATGGCGTTATTCAGAGGAAAAGCTGGATGAGAAACTCGTCACGCTTAAAAGATATCTACGTGACAATCGGTATTCTCAAAAATCTATTCATAAAAATAAAATTACATCGAATATGAAGACAAAACTAGATACGGTGGAGAGAAAACTAGCCTTTTGAGAAATAGGCAGGTTTGAGTAAGCACCGAGGGGAGAGTAAATGCTTCTATGAAGGGTATGTTTCCAGCTTCTAAACTAGACTCACTTTACAGAGCGAGTTGCCCACTGAAGCAATCCAAGGTTAACAGATCTTCCTTTCACATTAGCTCCAAATGTATGTACAAATTTACATGCACATCCAAAATCACATACACTAGTCAAACAGGGGAATCATTTGTGACCACTTATATCTCGATGCATTTGAAGAAATTTGCAGTTGAAAGGGCGAAAGTGTTCAGTGGTGAGATCTCTAGCCACTTGAGAAGTAGTTCCAGTGGACGAGGATATAGGACATAGTAAGTCAAATTTTCAGCACTTTAATCTCTGTATACTTGCATAGGTAAAACAGAGTCGGTCAAATACGACGCGAATCTCCACAGGTAGTTGATTTTGTATTAGCTGCCTAGTGGAATGCTGTAATCCTATCAAATGTTATGCTTGGCTATTATTTTATTGAATTTCTGTTTACACAGCTGGAATGTATGTTGTAGCGTTTGCTGTACTATGCACGAAGGTACCTCGAGATACCTTTTGTCCTTATCCGTTCCAGCTTACTATTTGTCGTCAAACTTGTACATTCAGAGGGAAACTGTTGTTAGCCTCATCCAGCCATAGTGAATAGATTTATTTTCACTTCACTTTTGATTTCCCTGTTGACTGATTGGGCCGGAATGTCCAGCCTGTGTTGATAAGTCGGCTGATTGTGCTGATGCTTCGGTGATATCTGAGGATCAACCTGAAGTAATTTGGTGAATTCCACTGCTAGTCACCATCCTCTGAATTGCTTCATAGTGAACACATTTTATGTTGATTTCGTTTTTTCATTAGATTATTAGTACTGTGTGCTATATCAAGTAATTTTATTTTACATGGAATTAATTATATACCACATCAATGTGTAAATTCTACTCTTATATTAGTCACATTTCATTTTTAAGAAAAAAACACAGTTTTTGCTCAGCAAAGAAGTACTTCTTTGCAACGACTTCATTTCCAAGCTGTACATTCGTATGTATATTACGGAAATAGGCATAAAGTGGCACTAGAAATTGCCTAGTCAATGTACATATGACAAGATTAAAGATAATTAAAATGGGAGTATTATGGGAGTGAATTTGAAGTGGATCAATTAAAAGATGGGATTTGACAATGCTTGAAGGATAAACTACCGCTCATGTCCACCTCTATATGCATATACTCATTCACATGGTCGTGTGGAGCTGATTACATTGGATGTTAAAAGCGTGTCCTTCGTAAATGCGTAGCTACTCATTAAGCGGTTTGGTTAATGGAAGGTAAGCAAAGGACGAAAAAGTCTTCTATTTGTGAACACCTTCTGGAGTTAGGTCATTCAGCCCCACATGATATATCCTTCAAAGTTATCCACAGGACCGAATCCAAACACTCCAAAAGCTTACGTTTTTTCCATTTATGCATAGCCGAAGCTCTAGCTATACATGGACAAAAGCATTTTGTTGAACCCCTTTCTTTGCCTTGGTCATATTAATGTTCTTTTATTTTTTTATTCTATTTTACTGCTTGAATTCATTCCACTTCATTTCATCTTCACCGTCTCTACTGTCATCATCATCATCATCATCGTACTGTCAATTTTTTAGACAACACTTGACCTACTATTTGAAAATCCTGACAACAACCACTCACTTAATTAATTAATAATCTTTGAAAGTTTTGTAATTCATCGACTTCAACTCTGTCCGCTTAGTGTGTCATTTTAATTATCTTTATTCTTATCATCATTTGAGCAATATTGACTACTGAGTGATATCTAATGCCAGTTAATGCCTTCTGTTTCCGGAATATTTTTGATTTTGACAACCTAATTTTATCTCTGTCCATACCATCGACCTAACTATTTTCCGTGACCTCTGCTCAACTAAATTACTTGACCTCTACATAAAGTGTCTTATCAAATTTACAGCTTTATATTATACACTTTGCATCTTCCGAATTTTCTTTGTGGTCATTATTTTTATGCACACTAACAAGGTAGCTTAACAAACAATAACTTTTGTCATTAGGTAATTTTTTCGTTGATTTCCGTCTTCATGTTCAATGACCTAAGCATAGGCATATTTTGTAGACAGCGATATTGAAGTTACTTTCCCGGTTCTATGCGGCTGACAAAAATCAATGAAGATGCAAGAAAAATACAGTGACATGATATTGTCCTAATTAGTTTATTGCCTTTGCTTTATTCATGTTCATGAAGGGTAAAGAATTTAATGGAATGAAATTAGTGACAATAAACATGCTGTAAAACTCACAAATAGATTTAATCATACTAAATTGAATAAATGCCAACTGGTTTAACGATGTAACGTTGGAATTCACGGCGGATCAATGATTGCAGATCCCTGTGACTGAGCAGTTAACGAGCTTAGACTCATAATCTGCAGGTTTCAGGTGTGATGGCTGGTTGAGTTGTGGGTGCACATGGCTGAAGAGTACCAGACTAGAATGAAACAGCTGACCAGGCCTAGCTGGTTCTCAACTATTATCGCTAAATTCTGTTGATTCGTGGCTGAATCCACATCGGAATGTGATGCCTATGTTTAAAGAACAACAAAGCATTCGGGGGTTGGATTGAAAATCTCTATTCGAATGTTATTCCATAGCTTCAGAGCATTTCTAAACCATTAGATAAGAGTAGAACCAACTTTGTTGTGTTTTGTTTTGTTTAAAATTAGTTCCGTATGAGATAAATAAAGACCAATTCAACCGTGACAT